CAAACCTGCATGGCTCCCACTGTGCTGTCTGCAAGTGCTCTTTAAAAAACCTGGCTTTTCCCACAGGCTAGGCCTTGGGTTAGGCTAGAATGGACAGGCTCCAGGAGTTGTGAGGAATTTGGATGGTTTTTGTTTTTTGCTGAAGTCATTTTGTATTTATTACTGCTTTATTTTATTTGCCCAGAGTCATCTGGAATGGGGTGACTTACAAATTCAGTAGATAAATTAATAAATCCTGCCTGTATGGATCACAACCTTCCTGAGCTATAAAGAAGTATATATAAAAATGAGGTAATTAAAAAAAAGCCAGCCAACCAACCTCTGAGGTCCTTTCTGTAGGGCCACGGGTGTTAATGGAGAGGGGGCAAGGAAGAGCCCAGTCAACCAGGTTTCTAGGGTTTGGCCTCGCTCCCTCCCTTTCCAAGGATTTTCCCAGTGGCTACGGCCCTGAAGGAAAGGGGGAGATACGTCCTAACAGATTCTAATTCAAGGGCCAGATAACTCCGGCCTACAAGTATGTGAGTTTAGCTTGATTATGAGGTATCAAAAGTCACGGAAGGAGTAGGTGTGTATGCATGAGAGGCGCAACCATTCGACCTCCAGAGCAGCGTAAGGCTCCTTCTGGCTAATGACACCAACTGGGGGCCGCAGAAATGCCTCCGGAGGACGATGGAGCCCTCCCTGTTCTCTAAAGGGGTGTCAGGGCAGTTCTGGTGCTCTGACTTCCTTTCTTGAGAATGGGCTTGCATTGCATTATGGAAAGCCAGTCCTTGAATCAAACTCTACTCCTGGCAACTACGTGGGTAGGCTGGTGAGGTTTTCTTGGCCACAGAAAGTGGAAGGGATCTGGGACGTCATTTTGATTTCCCACTCTAGTCTATGGCCTTGTATTCTCTGGTTTGACCCGAGGCAAGGTTGGGTGCTGCCACCTCCTGAGAAAGTGTGTGTAGAACCTCTAAATAACCTATTCCTGTGCAAGCAAGTGGGTAAAAGGAAGACGTTTACAACTGTTGTTACTAGCTGTAATATTTCTACCAAGGGTGCAGTTCATAGGGAGCTGTTGGCTGGGTCCCGTTGACCAAGGACGCAGCCAGGAAAGATCTCTGTCCGTTGGGCTGCTAAGCCTTAGCCTGCTGCTTGCTTGCTTGCTTATTTATTTATTTATTTATTTAAAAGAGTTGCATGGCTGCCCATCTTATGTGTCACCACTCTGGGCAGCTTACAAAACAATAATAAAAACCAAAGTCTTAATTTGTCATTGGATCTGGACAGAGGCCCACAGGATGGCAATAGCCATATTTTCCATTTAGATCTTTCAGCCTAATTTTAGGAGTAGCAGAAGGGAAAATTGCTCAATCTCAGTTTACTTTGGTGTTCATAAAAGAGATAACTGTTCTTACTGCCGGCCAGAGGCATTAGAGGAGGGTTTAATAGTGTATGCAGGGGATAATTTTAATCTCTGCTGCCTGCCCTCTCCGGATTTGTACGTAACCTCATGGAACATGAGGGGGGGGCGGGGGGAAAGGACCCTAGAGCGTGACATTTGCTCCTGCTCATACATTACTCTGAGAGTAAGTTTCCTCCTTGGAGATGTAGCCATGGTTGCTTTGCTTGCAGCTACCCCCCGTGGGCAGGGCGCTTCGCGTTGCTAACTTCCTGAGTCTGATCTTCCCAAGAAGATGGTTCATCAGACAGAGCAAGACTTCTAGAAACTTGCTTGGCCCATCCAGGGTGACCAGTGCCAGTGACCTTGGTAGTCAACCCCCCCCCCGCCCCAAAGAAACCAAAGCTCGGAGAAGCTGTAATGATATTGGTTTGGGTTTTCCTTAAAACGTTAAGTCTGACTAGATATTGTGGCTGGATATTGTTACAGTCCTCTCAGAAGATACTCTCATGGCAGCCAGCAAGCTTCTAGATGTAGAAGGTGAGTTGCTTCCTGAGAGCGCTCATAGACTGCAGCAGGACGTTGCAAGTGCTTGCAAAAATAGCCATATTTGCATGCAGCATAACTCCAGATTCTCGAGAATCCTGGCTCTGTGTGTACAGCAGTGTTTTTCAAACTTGGCAACTTTAAAATGTGTGGACTTCAACTCCCAGAATTCCCCAGCCAGCAATGTGAAAAATACTGCTGTATAGCCTTTTGCCTTCCTCTTAACTCTTCCTCCTACCAGTGGGAGCTGTTGTGATTAAACACAACCCCAAAGCTTAGCATATCCTTTGAACTGGAGCTCCAGACTTGTTGCTCACTTCACAAGCCAGAATTGCAATGAGAGTCTGTTCCTGGTTTTTGATTCTAAGGCTGTTGGGGAATGACAGCTTGCACGATGTCTTGCTTTTTAGAAGATCCTCAGCTTTCAAATGCTGTTCAGTCTAGTGCTTCCATTGCAGTGTGTACAAGTAGAATGAAAGGTTGTGTGTACAAATGCCCAACTCATGACCAGGAAGTAAGATTCTTGGGAATGTGAGCTTATTGTTGTATGCAAACATGAGCCATTCTCTGTGGTTATAGTATTTGACATGCATGCTAAATTCTTGATTGTATTTCTTTTCCGTGGTCTTAGGGGCTACTCCACAGAATGGGTTGTGTATCTCTTTGGCCATTAGATGGCAGGCTTTATTTCTGAGTCCTTGGAAGAGCACCACACCCCTTGTTGTGGTCAGTCGGCTAGAAGGGCCTGACTGCTTTTCTCTCTTAAAGGTGTATGACAGTAAGGTTAATCAAGAAATCTTTATCGTGACGTCAGAAAATGTTCTTCAGTGCTGCTTATGCTCTGATACGATAATGCAGTGCAATCTTATGATGGGTTTAAATGCTTGTACATTGAACAAACAGACAAATAAAAGAGAAATAAACAGCAGTGTTCCTTTAGAACAAGCATTCTCATTTCAGTTTATAAAAATGGATTAAAATATATTACTGAAGTTAACATTCAAATTATCATTTGCAAACCTAGTATAGGATTCCTTTTGTTGGTGTAACTGACTTTGATATTTGGTGGAATATGATAGAAAAACTAGATTTTTAAAAAGTAGAACAGATTTTTTTAACTGGCTACCCTCAGGACATTTTGGACCAAAATTCCCATGATTCATCGCCAGCAAGGTTAGTTGGTTTCCTGGTTGGGAAATACAGGAATAGTAGATGAAAACTTCTGGTAGATAGCAATCATTTTTAAGAGCCAATCCAAATTTGTTGACTCTATATCTGAAATCATGAGGGGCAAGTACTGAAAACCACTCTTTATATTTAAATGAAAAAACCAAACACCTGTTTCTTCTTTTGTCAACTGAACATCCTATAATTGGCCAGGTTCTCTTTGAAGACTTCTCTAGAAGGATAACTCTCCTCTTCATGTGGCAGCCTGTTCCACTAGTTGGCAGCTCATACAGTCACAGAGTTCCTCCTGGTGTCTAGCCTGAAGCTCCTGCCTTGAGGCTTTCACCCCCTGGTCCTGTCCTCTGGGGCAGCAAAGAATGAGCCCACCGCCTCCTCTGTGCAACAGCCCTTCAGATATTTGAACGCTGATATCTCTCTCCTCTGTCATCTCTTTGCAGGCCAAACATACCCAAAGCATTTAAATGTTCCTCATACGGCTTCCTTTCTCTTCATTATGTTGGTAGCCCTCCCTCTCTGAATTTGCTCCAATTTGGCACTGTCCTTTTTGAATTATGGAGCCCAGAACTGGACGCAGGACTCCAAATGGGGTCTGACTGGAGCAGAATAGAGGGGGATGATTACTGTAAGCTCCAAAGAAAGCCTTGGGCTTTTTTTGTAGCTGTGCCCCACTAGTGGCTCATATTTACCTTGTGACTGACTAGGAAACCCTAGGAGTCACACGCACTGCAGTCAAGCCAGATACCCCCCATCTAATACTTATATCCTACTTTTTTTTAACCTGGATACAGAACTGGACATTTTCCCCTGTTCATTCCCACCTTATTTGTTTCTCCCCTCTGCTCAAGCCCGTCTTGATCTTTTTGAATCTCCTCTGTTTCTTCTAAAGTATTAGCTATCCCTCTCAGCTTTGGATTGTCTGCAACTTTATGAGCATCCCTTCTCTTCCATCCTCCAAGTTGTTGATAAAAGGATTGAACATTGCTCTTTTAAACAGGTGCAGAGGAGCTGTGACTCCATGTGCACGCCTGTGATGTAGTAAATGCTTAGGGATGCTGGCTGGAAAAAAGCAAGAACCCCCCTCTAGCTGCTGTTTTCCGCCAACTGATCCTCAGAGATGCCTGGAGATAATACATAACCATTGTGATGCTGGCTAACTCTGGAAGGTAATTTCTTTGGGTGGAATCAAATTTTAGGTGAACATCTTCTCTAGAACCCCTTTGTGTTCCCTTGAAATGTGCTGCAGGCATTTGGAGAGCAACTCAGGGCACAGGGCATCTGAAAGCTGCCAGGAATGTCTCCCCCCATGCAGGGGTGCCTGCCTTCCAGTTCCATGAGTGGGAGTTGCTTCCACAAGGGGAAACTCTCCATCAGATTCTGCCACTGGCATTCTGAAGGCATCTCAGTCTTAGTCCTAGACTTGGTAGTGGATATAGGCAGAACTGCTGCATGTTCTGTTTCCTAGACAGCCTGCTTACGCTCCAGGATGGGGACCTTGGTCGGAGGCGTTGCAAGATTTGCTCTCTCACGTCTTGGTTGCCACTCCTTCCATACTTTTTCTTTTGTATTATGTTTCTGTCTCTTGTGTCAACAATGGACTGAAAGTACTAAAAGCATTAAATTATAACATGGTTAAGTGTTCCTCAGGAGCACTGAACAATGCAACACCTACTTCTGACTTCTGAGCTGGTCTGGAATTAGGGGAATTACAAATCCAGCACATTTGGAGACATCAGCTTGGGGAAGTTAGAATGATGTATCCCTTACTAAGTTCAGTTCATGTAGAATATCCACCTTTTGATGATCTGGTTTAACACCACAAGCAAAACTGAGCTACAGGAGGAAACATGAGGAACATACGTAAGGAGGCATCAGCAATTGCCTTCTTCTCCTTCAGCCCTAGCAACTTCAGATCACAACAAACCACCCTAGATGGAAGGTCTGTCTGAAAAAGGGGTGTTATGGTTCCCAGTTGATCATAAAGAAGGTCTGGACTTTCCTGGAAAATAGAATAGAAGAAGGAAAGAAGCTAATTTCAGTACTCCATTTTCTAGAAGGCTATCTGCCTAGGGGAACTAGCCCCAATCCATTGCAGAACTTCTAGCAGCCTTGAAGTAGTGCCAAGTACGTTATGTTGGAAAGGTGATTTTTATTCTTCACTCTGCAGTCAGGAGGTTAATTATTTCTGAATGGCTTCTGACGTTATCTTGTTTGTTATCCAAGTGAAGGCATACATGAAGATATTGGATAGAGCTAAAGGACTTAGTATTTGGTCAGATTTGACTGCACTATTTCTACAATTCTGATTTTATTGCTATAGAAACCGGAGCTGTTGAATCCTCTGATGGAGAATTCAGGGCAGTATGGGTGGTGATGATTAATTGCATAATCTGGTGAAGCTATAACTGATCTTAGAAGGCAGCGTTTCACAAAGTGTGGTCTGCAGTCCAGGACCGGTCCTGGTAAAATTAAAAATAAAAGGATACACAACCTTGCCAGCATTTTCCAGAAGAAAGCTGTCTCTTTCCCCTTTCCCCTCAGACCAGAGCCGAGGCCAGGGCGCTGGCAATCAGGCAACCCGAGGCTTAAAGACATCCACCTCTATTTTGCATATGCATAATGCAACAAAAAAATAGACCAAACTCTGGATATGCAAACCACCGATTGAGGGGAAATGATTTTTTATAAGTGTTTCCATTTTGGGGCTTCAGAAAGAGGTACTGAGGGAAAAAAAGCCCCCATTTATATAAAACTTGGGAAGCCCTGTTGTAAACCGTATTTTTTTTAGCATTATATGTGTTTCTATTGTTCTTTGTAGAGACAGGCAACCTATATTTACCTTTCACAAACTCAGATTGCTCGTTTATCTTGCCCAGTATGGTCTGTACCTTTATTGATTTATTTTTGCTCTTTTATTGAACCAACAAAAGATCAAGAAAACAAATTAAAATTAAAAAATGCAAATAATCCCAGAATAAATCCCAGGAGCAGAATGGGGGAAGGAAAAAAGTGTATGGTGGGAGGGGGGTGGAGGGGGGAGGAGAAAATCTTACATGATCTTAAGGAAAAAATATAAGCATTTTGTTGAATATTTCTTCTGGAATGATATTTGCACAGACAAAAATCTATTAGGGAAAACATGGTTGATAAAGCTAATAAATGGTGGTCTGAACAAATAGATCTTTCATGGTTTCATTGTTTTTCAGAACTCTTTGCTGTCAGAGCAGTTTCCCACACTTTTAAATACTGATGGTTCAGAGAAAGGTGTTATTTAGTTTTCCATTGCTTTGCTATAACAAACCTAGTGGCCAACAGGAATCAAATCTGTTCCTTATATTGCATCCATTTATATGCCTTAGGGAAAATTTATCTGGCCTAGCATCAGCTTAGCCATTCTCTCAGGCTGGAGACTTGTCAGAGGTATGCTCCTGGTTATTATTCTTAGCGGCCTGGGATTTTCTCCATAAAGCTGACCTCTGAATCCCCAAAAGTAAAGCTGGAGATCTCTGCTTACAGCTGCCATTAGATACAGCATGTACGCTGTCTGGCAATATCCAGGGTCTTTTTCCCCTAAGGAGCCTGTTGGGTCCAGTAAAGGCATTCTGTAAAAACAGCACTGGGCAGGCTGGCATAATTCCCCTACATCACCCCTGCAGGAATCTTTCCTTTGCTTCCACCTTCTGTAACGGGCTGCCTTTTCTTACCTCTGTTCCCTTGCAGTGATCCATGCTAGAGAAGCTTCATTCACACAGATGAGCCCCCCAGGGCTGACAAGGCACTTTAGGCCCAGATAGCTGGTTGACCACCTGCCCAGCAGAATGCCGTCCACCAGCCGTGCGGGCAGCCTGAAGGACCCAGAAATCGCCGAGCTCTTTTTCAAAGAAGACCCAGAGAAGCTCTTCACAGACCTCCGAGAGATCGGCCATGGGAGTTTTGGAGCTGTTTATTTTGTAAGAAGTCTTGGGTGGTTTCTGCAAGGGCACATGAAAAAGAATGAACCCCCGGTTTGGAGTTGGCACCTCCAAAGTACTGTTTCCCCCAGGCTGGAGCAGAAAGAAGGCCTTTGTTCTATGCCAGTGTTTTTCAACCTTGGCCGCTTGAAGATGTATGGACTTAAAGCAGCCAAGGTTGACAAACACTATTCCAAGCTTAGGATATGCCCCCTCAATCCCCTCTTTCTCTCTCTAATGGTGCTGCCCAGGTTGAGCTGGAATCTTGGTCTGTAATCCAGAGCAGTCATTTACAACCTAGCAAGAGGCAAAACCTTTTCTCTGATCCTTCTTGATAGAAATTTGGGTTGGTGAGACATGCTGGTCTCATTTATGGGGGAGTCTTCTTCCCAGTACCTGCTCTGTGTGTGTGTGTGTGTGTGTGTGTATAATTTGAAATACATTGATCCTAACTTTCTGTGTAAAAAGCTCTCGGGGGGCTCAAGAGTGAAGACCACGTGGAGAGGTTAGAAGCCTGAGGCGGAGCCTGTTCCGCCTTTAAGGGAGGAACAGGGAATGTGGCAGGTAGCAGGCACTTCCACATTTCAGAGGCTACCCCCGAGAAGGACCCCCCCACACACACAGGCCTTGTTTATTTATTTGGCAAGATATATATATGGCCCCAAACTAAATGACTTCGGTTGGTGTGCAGAAATGCCATATGTAATCAAGCCTGTTCAAAACCATACAATATTACTAAATCACTGGCTGCTAAATAAGCCACAATAAGTGGTTGGGGTTTTTTTTTTCCCTTTCCTACTGGCTGTGAATTGCTTGGTTTTGGCTTAGCGTGTTGGATATACTCAACCAGTCATAACCCATTCAGCAACCATGGTGATGTACGATGGCTCTTGCCTATATTAAGTTTCAGTTTGTTCATCCTCACCTATCAGCCCTGAGACACTTGTTCAGAAATTCTCCTGATCCCCCTGGGATCAGTAGAGGGAAATGTGAGGCGGGTGTATGCAATTAGCATACTGATGATGCTTGAGTGGGCGACTTGCAACTGTCACGCTCACAACCTAGGATAATACAGAATGCTAAGCAAAAACCAAACAAATCACTTTATGGCTTGGTGTTTTGTGAGTCTAGTTTTTGTGGCTCTAACTGATGGGCTACAGCTTAGTATGATGTGCAAACCCAGCCAATTAAGTTTTATTCAGTAAACCATAGTAAAACTATGGCTTAGCAGCTTGTGTGAGCACTGTCATATACATACTTAGGGCCTCACGAGGATATTGTGTCCAGCATTATCACCAAAGAGCCTCAGTTTGAGAAGATGTAACAGCTAACCATCTGAGCCAACCCAAATGAAATTATCCCAAAGGGCACTGTCATGAACCTTGTCGCGAAGAGGTCTAGGAGAACCAGCAGGGACGTGTACCCCCCTTCCGTTCTTAGGGTAAATCAGAGCCACTGAGGCCACCTCTGCCAAGCCCTGACTGAAAACCAGATTGAAATTGGGTTAAATTCTTGGTCCTCTGCCTTCAAGAGAGCACACACACACACACACACTCACATACACACACACACACAGACAGGGAATCAAATTGCCAAACTATTTATTGCCATATCAGCCGTCGATCTGAGAGTGGGATGCAGTCAGTGAAACAGTTAATTTGGAGAGCTCAGATGTTCAGCTGAATTGCCAGGTCTTCACCTGGTGCCCGAGTAAAGCCAACATTGGCCAGACCCTGATCTCCATGGTACAGGGCGTTCCGTCATGGTGCAATGGGACATGAAAGCATTTCAGTAGACCTTAATACCTGGTCAGGGGGAGGGATGAACTCAGATAGCATGGTCTCAAAGCAGTTATTGCTTAGGATGACGTTGCCAATACCCTGTACTCAAAACTGGAAGCTTTTTAGCAGCCAAGGCAATGTAAAATCAGCCAAATATGTCTTCTGCTTGATTGTCGGGAAGCATCTAGCTGTGGTACTCTGTGCTAGTTGCAGCCTCTGTCTTCCCAGCCCTTCCCTACATACAATGCCTTCCAGTGCTCTTTTCCAGCAAAGATGAATGCATAGATGAATGCAGCCAGCTCAAGCCATGGGGTGTTAACGACAGACAGTGGGGAGGGGCTCCTTGTGATCCACCTCCCACAGGTCCGCATCCAACAGAGCTTTGCTTTGCTGCTGGTGTCCCTTGAATTGTGAGCTTGTCGTTGAAGCTCTTGGTACTTGGCTCCAGCGTCCTCTTCTCGGAGGAGGAACGCTACCCTTGAACAATAGCAGACCTAACAAAAGCATGTCATTGTGTGAAAGTGGAGATGACTGCAAAGCCACATACTGGCATCCATTGTCAGTGTGGCATCGTGGAATGCAGCTGGAAGTTGTATGATTTCCTGCAAACGTCATGCACCTGCTGACTGTCAGCACAGTATGAGACTCTGGAGAAGGCAGTGCAAGCTCCTGATGGCACAACCTGGACTCTGTGGCAGGTTGAGAAGGCCAAGGGCAAATCAGGATTTGTATGTCTTCCTTTAGGTGGACCCCTTGAACAATAAGCAGAAAGAACTGGAGAACTAGTTTCTCTCTCAGGGTTGGTTCCACGCAGAATCAGTTCAGATTCATAATTCAGCCTCTACCTTCACGGCCTCCAGCTGCCAGAACTTGCAACCAAAGTCAGTAGAGTTGTAGCCCAACCCATTAGAGGGCCCCAGGTTGGGGGAGGACCTCCTAATTGCTCAAAATGTAGAAGATGCCAGCTGTAAAAGTGGCATCTGGTAAGGTGGCCACCAGCAGTTTCAGTGCCTGAGAGAACCATTACGTTAGCATAATTCAGATGTCCCTGAGGGCATCAAGAGAATGGCCAAGGAGGAGATGTTAACTCTTGAAGCAGGAGGAAAAAGCCAGGAGCTTAAACTCTGGAGCATAGGCTTACACCTTCCCTGCAGAGGAAAGCCATCTGTTGTGTTTAAGGCCTCATTCTGGTTTGCGTAGGGATTCTGATCTAACCATATTGTGTTCAGGAAGCTTCTGCCAAGATAAGCCAGTTGTCGGGTGGGAGGGTCTGGAGATCTTCCTGGTGTGGAGCTTGTCCACCACCTGGGCTAACTGCTGCCTTTTTGGCCACTGGCCCAACCTTCGCCCTGACCTTGGGAGGCTTCTGGGGAAGAGCAGGGGGCTCTGTGGCTCTTGGGAATGATCAGGCAGATCAGAAGAAAGGGCCGTATTGAGTGCTAAAAACAAGCAGCTCTCCTCACTCCTCGCTCCCCCCCATGCATGATGTTGCCTAGCCATTACATCATGTTGGCGCGCCAAGTAAGACTGCATGGCGTCTGCCAAGGCTGCAGCTTCTTGCCCCCAGCCTGCAGTGAGAATGTCTTGCATTCTGCTCCCGGCTGGTTACTGGCCAAGCCCTTTCCCTCAGCCTCGGGGGTACAAACTTCTTTGTGGTGTTCTCAGTTCAGGGGTCCTGCTTAATGCCACAGAAAAGCCCCCCACTGCCCGCGTGGCCTCCTGGGACTGTTGCAGCAGTGTCTGCATAGCACAGAGGACTTGCAGAAATGTTGTTGCCCCACTTGGGCCCTGGTAGAGGTGGCAACCCAAGGGTTCCCCAGAAGCCTTTTCAGGGTGCGGGAAGGGGCCCCTGACCTCCTTGGGTTGGCAGCTGGCCTTCCAGCAGGTCCTCTCCTCCCTGACATCCCGGTCACACTGGGGCTCTGTTCTCCTCCTGTCGACCTTTATCCGGGGAGGTTTTCAGTGAGTGGAGCTTTTGAAAAAGGCTTGTGTTTGATGTTGCAGGCACGGGATGTGCGCACCAACGAGGTGGTGGCCATCAAGAAGATGTCTTACAGTGGGAAGCAATCAAATGAGGTAGGTGGATCCTTTGGCGCCCAGCGCCTTCTGAACTGTTGTTGGTCGGATCCTGCAGCTGCGGACTCGGATTCTCACTGCGTGCTCTGGGGAAAGAAATTTGCATGCAAGGTGAATTAAGATAATGGAAAATGTGACCTTAAAGCAGCTCATGAGCAAAAAAACCCCAAAAAACAAAGACGCCAGAAGATGGGAAGGAAGGCATTACGATACTGACAGTTATGAGACCTACAGCATGTGTAGTAAGTAGAATTCTGGGAGAGAATGAGGTACGGTGGAAAAGGTTATTTCCTTCAGCATTAGCCCACACTTCCCACCAGTCAGAGCCTTTAAAAAGACCCATTTCTTTAAACGTGTATCTGTGGTCTTTAAAAGTTATTTTTAAATGTACATTTACAATCATGAGGACTAGAAGGTTTTTTTTTTTTTTATGATTTACTGTTAATCTCTTGCATACTTTGCAGGAAAGCTAAATTCTGCTCTTTGGAGGCTGTAATCTGATCCAAGCAGAAAATGGGATTATGGTTTGAAACGTGCTGTGCAAAATGTTTTGGGGAATTCTACTGTGTCATTGCTGTTTCCTGTTGACCTGTGGCCGGATCTGATCGGTTGTTCAGAAAATAAAGCAGGATTGCTTGCTTTGTACAAAATAGCAATAATAATAATAATAATAATAATAATAATAGTAATAATAATAATAAAAAGAAAGCAAAGATAGTACCAGTAGTTATAGGCG